AGCTTCTTGACAAAGATGCAGAAGAAGACAGAAAATCTCAGAACACTAATGCAGATTTCATTGTGGAGGTTCAGCGATATCTGCCTGTTCCTCCTCTGGACAGATCACAGGACCCCTCACTGTACCCACACTGTTCAACCTGGCCAAACAGTTCCTGGCGACACCAGCATCTTCTGTACCTTGTGAAAAGGTCTTCCCCAAAGCTGGGGAAGTTGTCTCAAAAAGTGAAATTGTCTAAAACCATCCACTTTGGAGACTATTATTTTTGAATAAAAATGCCTGAGTCACACAAGCACACCCAGTGTACATCAAGCACAATCAGAACACATATTATATTATATTGTCAGAACATTAATTACATCCACAGCCTCATTGAACCCTGCAAACATTTGCTCTGTCCAGTGTGTAATTTGGGATGAATAATTATAAATCCATTTCATATTCTAACATGTCATTTCAGATTCTTTATAAGGCAAGTAAGAAAAACAGACACATGTAAAATGAAGTTAGATTTCAGCTTTATTTAAGTAATTTCCACATTACAACAAAACTCAGTGCACACACAAAGTGTGTCAGCATCACCTTTGCCAGGCTGCACAACAACCACTGCACCAGCAGATGTCACCCATGTGCTCAGTGAATGAAGCTTCGAGTAGTGAACCAGTTTTCAATACAATGGTACAAAGGGGTTCAAAGCTTCATGGGACCTGGTACGGCCATCGGTAAGTGATAGCAAGTACACAAACTGGCAGGGTGTGGTGAACAAAGAATGAACCAGCAAGAGACTGAGGGAAAGAAGGAGTATATATGGGAACAGAGGATAATGAGCAACAGGTGAAGGCGATGAGTGGTGTTTGTGCACTGGGGTAAAGCTGGGACAGGTGAGGTGATACAAGCCAGGAAACTAACCAAAATAAAAGCACCAAACACGACGCAAGATCACAAACCATAACAGCCATCCTACATACTGTATGTGTCAACTTTAAAAAAAAGGAAAGATTTTGATAACTTTTAATGGAGATATGATTTTTTTGTCCGTGATTTTTTTTCCCCTTATTTTTTGTGACCTTGACCTTTTTCTATTCACTTCTAGGGTTGGTCCCTGCCAATGTTGGTACCAAGTATGCTGATGATCCATCCAGCCGTTTGTCTGTAATCCTAAACAAAACACACACACACACACACACACACACACACACACACACGGGACCTAAAACATAACCTCCTTCACAGCGGTAAAAAAATTGACAGAATTTACTGAAGTGTATAAAAGTATGTAATCTGCTTACAACACAGTTTAGGTAATGCTCAGATTACTGGACTGTACAACTATGAAAACATTTATGATATTTGTTGGCATCTCACACTCATCCAGTGACCTGCTACAACTATTGTGAACTAAGCCTGCATTCAGACTAAGTTTCAAAGATGTGAAAAAACACAGCCCTCTCCAATCATTTCTATGAAGGACTGCATTTTCCACAGCCAGCACCAGCACCGTAGGGAGCTCCGGCAAAATGACACAACCCCATGCAGTGAAAAAGTTGGATCTGATTCAGCTTTTGCCACACTGGATGGTGATATCATCTGGCAAAGGCACTGCCTTGACCAATCAAATATGGGGGGTGGTTGAAATGTGGATCCCTATGGGAAGAGGACTCTTCTATTTACCTTGTTAGGATGAGCATTCATTGCTATTCACTCTTGAATTTGGGGACCACACTTACAAAGGTACCATAAAAATATGCTATGCATTTTCATTAGTTAAGCTATTAGAAGTTAAACTGATTTTTTTTTTATCTATCAATGCCAACAACTGGTGGTAGAAACTGGTGCTAATGTAGTTGGCTACATTAGCAGCATGGCTAACCAAAACACAATGGAAACTACTGCGCTAGAAATACGAATGAATCCACTCACCTCAACTCTTCACAATGTGGCCGTATTGTATACGCCTAGAACACTCCCCCTGTAACCCCTCATACCACCCACCAACACAGTCCCCTTCGCTAAAGCACAGCAAGGAGTTGGGTTTTACTCTGAATGTTAGCTAACAGTGCGTGTCAGGTCAGTCCTTACCTGGAGCTGCATTCAAACTAATCACAGCAGTTTCTGTTCTGTTGTGTACGTGTGTCTGTGTGCACCTGGCATAGCTGACACTGTGGGGACCAAAACCTGTTTACACACATGCATTTTGGGAACATGGCCTTCCTTGTGGGAACCAGATACTGGTCCCCACTATGTATTCTTCGTCACCTCATGTGCTGATACACGGCCACCCATAGTTGTAATTTTCAAGTGCAGGTACAACAAAAGAGCCATCCAAAAGAACAAACTGACAAAAAGCATACAGAAAAGCAAAGGAAACCTCTGGAGATGACATGAATTTGTGTAGAATTTGAAGCCTGCTGTTTGGAGAGTGCAAATGAAAGATGATGGTGTGGCTCCCAGCGAGCCCCCTTTCTATTCTACAGCATTTCTACTGCAGTGTCTACTACAATGCCTTGGAGGAGGGCAAACTGGACTATCTGTCAATTAAATAGTCCATAGTCCAGGACACCATGCTGCTGCCCACCTGCTTCACTTTGAGCTTCACCCCAAGGGGCTGGATGACCATGAAAGCAGAGCAGTCAAAGGGTGTGATTGCCAACATGCAACCACCTTTTTTGGTTAGGAATAATCTCAGTAGAGTTATTACATTAAGGAACTCTCTCTGAAAAGAATAAACTACATTTGAATTAAAAAAATCTTTATGGTTATATTGCTATAGTCTGTCCAGTACTGGGAGTAATTAATCTAGATTATATCACTCTCATATAAACAGAACTGCTAAAGATTGAACTCTGAAAAGGACAAAACCACAAATTGCTGTCATGTATTATCTTTAACATATCTCTGTGAGTTTGTGAATTGATTCATTTCTTATTTACATTTTTTATGTTCCCTGCTGCCACATTTCTGCAAAAACTACAAACTTAACTATTAGTTAATAGAAAACTTTAAGGGCTGATCTCCTGTTTGCAGCATACAGCAAAATAGGGTCATTTCTGGACACTGGCCTGTAGGTGATATCCAAATAAAAATGTATTCGAACAAGTTTTCCTCTATAAAGAATACATCTCTCCAGTTTATGTGCAGCAGCATAAAGGAGATGAGTACTGGGATTCTAAAGGCTACAACTATCTGCAGAATTTGTGGCTACTCATGAGAGGTCAAAGTATTTAAGGCAGAAGGCTGCATTATGTTCAGTTTTCATAATATATTTTTAAATGACTGGCCTAAGACAATACAAATAAAATAAGAATGCAAAAAGTGAAAGAAAAATAGTTCCGTTTCAGCCTGATCTGAATGGACAGTTCTTGCGAATATTTGTACCAGTTACTGGGGTAATGATGAATGTATATGCCAGATTTTAGGCAGGTGTGCTCACAGGTGACAGTGGCAGCTGCCTCAAAGGTGGTGCTGGCCAACAGGTCCATGAAGGAACACCTGCTAACTCCTCTCCAGGTGTTCTTCCTTTCTGCTCATGCACCCTCTATGTTGCTGTATAGTAGTTTGAAGAAGCTTCTTATCAAACACCCTCTGCCACTGCCTAAGGCAAGAGACAAGCACAAGTCATAAGGCAAAATATGTCATAAGAACGAACTGTACAAACTATTTTTGTGTATAATCACATATTTTGGCACAACATGAAAACATTATCTCACTATGGTGTAGTTTTCTGCCTTGTAGCAGCTGAATTTTTCACAAACTTAATGACAAAAGTGAGTAACTGAAACATTCTGTTAGATAAACTAAATTCATGCTCTCAAGTGTTGATAAGTGTCCTGATAATAATACTGAGCCCTTAACCTCAGCTAAGGCTAACTTACCTTTGCACGAGCTCAGTGTGTCAGTACGACGTAGAGGCACATCTTGCAGAACAGCACCGAACTGTCCGTGGCCATCCAGGGATTTATTTTTGAATTCTGGCACAGTAAAAGCTACTGTGTGTCCTGAAACCCGGCCACAGGTGGAAGTGTCGGGTGTGAGCCAGCTGTTAGCGAGCTTAGCTGACTGGAGGTCTCTGAGTTTCAGCTGCATGGCTGAAATGAGGTCCTGATCATCAATTAAACCAGCATTATAAAAGCATATCAACCATTTGCATGATACCCAATTACTCCAAGTAAAGACAATTAAAAAAAAGACATTACCCAATGTCCATGCTACACATGAATAATGAGTTGTACTTGAACAGCTTCACTGAGTCACCCCTTGTCCATCATGTTCTCCTCATGATTGGAAAGGCAGGCCAGACCCCTTGTGTATGAAGATAAGGCAATGAGGAACTGAGAATTCAGTTTTATTTTTTTTGCAGCAAACTCTCTTCTGTTTCAGTAAAACTCTCTCACACAGACAATTATTCTGTCTCACATTCACTATAATACTGTTGCTTTACACATGACTATTCTCATTCACACAGACCATCTCTTACATATGCTATCATTGTGTTTCACATTCATTATTAAACTCACTTCTATCATAACTTATTACATATACAAGTATTCCCTCTTATATAAACTGTTATGCAAGAATATAATATATGCCATGCAAGTGTGTGAGTATGAGAATATATGGTGCTGTCTGTGAAAGGGTAGGCCTATGGTGGTGCATATAAGAGTACTGTTGGAAGAATATAGTAGTGGACATGTGAGATTATGAAGTTGTATGCAGGACTGAGTATGGCTTATGTTTCATGGCTCCTCTCATATTGGGGGGGTTCCTTGGCTGCACTTGACATCCCTTGATTTTTAAGCCTTTAAGTCTGTTCCATAATTTTAACACTATCATTATCGTATAATTGCATGATGTTGTGCGTATGACTGAATATGATATGTGTCTCATGGGGCCTCTCATATGCCTCCTTCCCCGTGCTTTCAGTCTACAGGAAGGCAGCGAATTCAGGAAACAACATTTGAGACTCGGCCCATTGACCGAGGTTTGGGGCGTCGACTATTCTCCGCTCAGACCAATCGGAGTTCACGGCGAAACATTGTAAACAACTCTTACACGTTGTTATAAAGCTTATCTTCGTGTATTTACTACAAAGGACCCGACGGTGCTGCAGCCAAGTGAGTGAACGGTGCCAAAACAGGTGAGAAAGTTTTGTTTGTTCGCAGTTTTTAATCCGTTCTGTGTGTTTGCGAGCACTGTGCGCGCGCCCAGCGTTTCTGTGTGTTCTCGTGACTCGTAGTAGCAGCGCTGGTGTAAAACAGCTGTCACGTAGTGTAATATGGGTAGCAGGAAAAGGTGAAGGCTGTTTTTATTAGGAAAGAAATAAAGAGTGCGTAACATTCTATAACCTTAGAGGATATTCTCAATATTACGGATGGCGACGCCACTGTACAGAAAAAAGTGAAACTCCTGTTTCAGTACCAGAGACACGGTAGTCTCAGGTAGACTGGGTTGCTTAAGGACTATAGTGTGTTTGACAGGCATCTTGAAACAGTTTATCAGTCGATGAGACTAATTTAATTCGAGAGAGTTTAAAGGGTGCGGTGGTGTTCCAATTTCAGAGGCCTAGGAGCCTTTCATTACCAAAAAAACTTAGTTTTCCTGCCAGTTTGTGGTGCCCCCAGTGTCAGTCTGCTTTTTATAAATGTCTTTACAAGGTAACGATTATGTGTTTTAGGGCTATAGAGAGAAACTTGTTTAAACCTAACAAGTCTTGAGATGATTTTCTGAGTGATTTCAATGAACAGGCTAATGATGGAGCAGAGTTCATTGAAAATCACTCAGCATTTACCAAGTGCCTGGATGAGACAGGCCTGTTATTAGGCAGCTTCACATCTGAATGTGTCAGTGGTGATAAGTGTAGCTAGGCATCAAGAATGACTTGGCCTGCTTTTAAGTGCCAGACAAGAAAATGTGAAAATCCATGTACTCCACAGGTAGACACTGACAGGAGAAAGGGTTAGTGTTAAAGTGTTCACTTATGTTTTAAAAGCTCCTTATAATGTATAACACACTTTTAAAAGTGTGTTAATGACACTGTCAGCTATTTATAAAAGTTTTGATTTGCAAGTACTGGAAATTTTTTTTCTTTCCCACTTACTCACTCACTCACTAGACTATCACTTTCTGCTGAGCTCAAGTAAGCCATTACTGTTGTTGCCTCCAACCTCCAGTGGTGCTGAACGTGTACTGCGCTGTAGATGTGCCATATTTTGTTGCCTGCTGTTTTACTGTTAGTCTAAACAGCCTGTTACAGGCTGCAAAGGTCTTCATTCTGAACGGATGTGGGCACAACTTTCACAGTGGAACGCCAACATCTGCATGCTGTGTTCCCTCAGCACGCCCACCTCAGCTGAAGGAGGGCTTGAGGAAGAAGGGGGAGAGAATAGCTTCCTGTCAGAATAGTAGAGCGACTGAATCGGCTGACGTTTTGCAGAGACATAAGTCTGGTGGAGGGGTTGGGGAGGGTGCTGGTCGTGCTGGGGGCGTGGTTTTATACATGCAGTCATGACTTTCTTTGTTATAACTTCTCTGGAAATGTGGCACTTTTTTTTTTAAGTACTATATAATCGTGGTTTGGACAGTCTGCTAGGTTTACTGATTGCACCATATTCTTTGTTAGTGTATCTCTATCTCTGTCATATCTCTATATCTTCTACAGTCATTTTTCTCTGTCACTGTTAGACAAGCAGCTTTCAGCTTAACAGGTGGTATTTAGTCACTTCCCCAAGTCCTCAGGCTGTAAAACACTTAGTGGTATTTTTGGCACGGTTACTGGCAGTGTTTGACTTTTATATTGTTTTGGATGCAAATTGATACTTTTGCAGTAGGATTAAACTGTAAACTGAGCTTAAACTACAATTGTATTTAAGTCATTTTGGATAAATACTCTGAAGAGAACAAATGTGGCTAGGAAGTAACACTAAATATCATTAAACTCTTTACTCTAAACTCCACTGAGAGTAAAACCGATGGGAAGAAAATTTTAAAAAATACTGCAACAATGCATTTTGTTGATATGCCCAATTATCAAAGAGGTAAATACCACATTAAACATTTCTGTCTAGATACTGAAATCAAATCAAATCAAATCAAGTAAAATCAAATTTTTGAATTAATTTGAGGGAACAAACTGACAATGCAACTCATTCATTATGTGACGCTTAGTTTCATCAGATTTGTCGTTCTGACAGATGTCTAATAAGTCCCCATACGTCACGATCAACCATCACACATCTGACAGGCTCATGTGCTCCCCAGTGGATGTTCATTCTTATAACAACAGCTGAGCTCTCAAGGCTTTTTTTGTATGTTACTTAAATAGAAGTGCCTTTCAGCGAATTATGTTTTGATACGTGATCATACTATGCTTATTGATTTACTGTGAGATTTTTACCGCCGTGAGAGTTCATCCCAAAAATAAAAAAAAAATGAAAGCAAAACAAACGTGCTTGTCAGTAAACTCAAAATAAGGAGATGAGAATTGTTTGTTTTCCTGTAAAGCTGCCCTCACAGATAACCACCTGAGTGCTTTACATGAAACATGCTGACGTCATCACTTCCCGTCGCAGTACCTAAACACAAACAAGCGAGCAGGGACAGTCAAATTGTGGTAGTTTCACTCACATATATCACTTCAAATGCACAGTGCAGTTGTGCTGAGGAGACACTGTAGTTTTTTTTTGAAGGGAATGACAATGAACTTTAAATCAACTTATGGCAGTTGAATGTAACATAAATACAGAATTTTACCAGACACAAATGAGGAAACATTGCTAAGCTAGACAGAAGAAAGCTAATAATAAATAAATAAAAACTACATGACCTCATATAGTGGAAGAAAGCAGAAATGTGTTTAATCATGCCACCAACATATTTCTGCATTTGATATGATGTGTGTGTGTGTGTGTGAGTGACCAGGCAGCTATATCCTAAGTACAAAAGACAAATTCACTGTGTTAAAACTGTGATAAGCAGCAGTTTAAACACTACTGAAAAATTACATTATATACATGATTATATGGTTCTGCATTGAACAGCGGGTTGCTTGAGTATCAGCTTTGTGGGTAGAAATGACTAGTTTTGTGGTATCACATGCCTGGAAGCACCAAACCAGTTTCAGTTTTAGAGGTCAGTGTGTTAGAGGAATGCTCTGTTCATCATCTAAATCTAAAGCTCGTGACTTATTTTTACTCCAAACATTTCCTCCAAAAACAGAATCTTGGCAATCAAACCGAACTAAAGCTGTAGCTTTCTCTTGCTACAGTAGTGCTCAGCCTCGCCAAGTGTAGGATGTGGGGTTGTGTATGGAGCCTTGCTTAATACACATAATACTGACAGCAGTGAATACTCGCATATTTTCAGTCCAGTGGCAGTGGGAGAAGGCCAAGGGTGTAGTTTTGCATGGACGAGAGGGACATGTCCCTACCAATATTTTGGGAAGACAGAAATGCCCCCTTCAATATTTGAGCGAACCTATGTGCATTGCCTTTGGAGTGAAGTCATATCAGATCATTACCTTGTGCCTGCCCTACTGAAAGGGAGGGGGGGATCTAAAGCTCACATTATGTGCAAATGTCATATTTGCTCCCAGACATGGAGGAGGCGACAGCTGTCAGTCAGTGGGCTGATAACGGTACATTATAATGGCTGTTATAACATCACAGAGTCAAAGTTTCATAGTGAAACATTGGTAAAATACAGACGATGCCTCTTTTGATTCGTAGTAATGTAGACAACAAGCTACAAGCTCATGTAACGTGAGCCGTCCTCTGCTCCAAACAAATTACACTGGTCTTAATGTGCAGCGGCTGTGAGACCAGTGCGCAGGGACCGTCTACAAAGTGCAACACTGAAAAAAGGTCAGCCTACTACAAAAATATTCAATAACTTTACTCTTACCTAGTGTAGTGTTACCAAAATTACTTCACACCTCAGTGGTTGTCTGCTGGTTATAATACAACCCTTACTTAGGGGAAAAAATGTGTTTTCATAATTTGAGGGAATTTTAATTTCTGTAACTTCACTCATATATATATAGTGTCACCAAAATCACTTCACATATTAATGGCCATCTGCTGATTGTACTACAACACTCTATGTGGAAAAATGCACTTTTGTATGATTTTGGCGAATATTTATTGGGAAAAACAGTAACTTCACTGTTAGACAGTAGTGTCACCATAATCACAATCACTCATCATTACGGATAGTGGATAGACTTGAAACCCAGTGGAAATGAATTATTTTGTATGTAATGTAGGAAACAGCATCAGGCAAGAGAAGCAGAGCAGGCTGATGAGGGAACAGGTGCATCTCCAGTGTTTCAGGTGAGGCTGGATGCATCTATTATAATAGAACTAAACTCAGATCAGTTATGAGTCTCTGCAGCTGCTCTGAAGGGAAAGCATCCTGCTTAGCAATTCTGATTATTCCAGCTTACATACTGTAGAAGAGAATTTACATGGGCTAGTCATTAAAGCATCCTGTCAGATGAGCAGTTTGCATGTTATACTACAGCTGTTTGTATAGTCAGTTCCTGCTGTCTCTGTGCTTTTTGTTGTTTTGGTTACATTTAAAGTTTCAACGGTAAAGATAGGATTGTACTATTATTATGCATTTATCTTTTTATTACATTGCATAAAAAGAGCACAAATACTACCAAAAACAAATTTCAACCATTTTATACACATTAAGTGTGCATACTAAGTTTGGGGTCACCTCTGTTGTTTCCAGATGTTATTAGTGTAATTCAACACACTTGTGGCATTCTTTCTACATCAAATATTGTTTGGACAGACAGAACTGTTGCAGAGGTTCCTACAGATGTGTTGCACTTGTACAGCTGCTTTGCTCTCACTCTGCACCTGGAACGTCTGGATACTGTGCTGCCATTCCAGCATCTGAAGCCGGCTGTCTTGAGGTGTTTTCTGGGTCATTGTCCTGCTATAGGACGAAACCCTGAAAAGGTCTGACTTTCTTTGTTAATGGTGTTTTCCAAACAACGCTGTAGAGGGTGTGGTAACAGATCCTTTTCCAACACTGCCTTTGTACACATAGAATCTATTGTTGTAAGTAATCAACTAAAGTTGGAACACCAAGTTATTTGCATCAAGTTTCAAGGCTTCATTTATTTCTACT